GCAGGAATAGGAGATGAAAAGCTTTTTTTAGTAGGTGCAGAGGAGGCTAGATAGTTTAGCAAGAGGAGGTGAAGAGAGGACAGTGTATTTGCTAGTGAGGGCACTGTATTCATCCTACTCCTCTGGCTGCACTGAGTAGAGTTCCTGGCAGGCTTAGTGGCCCTGCACCCTTCTGATAACTCACCCGCTTGGCTCTCTATTGTCTCTGCATTCCAGTGGCTAAAAATGGAGGTTGCCTTTTCTAACAGCATATCGGCATCCATGAGAAAAATGTCAAACCCTCAGTGCAGAGTGGGAAGCCAGGGAGCAGAGAGAGAGAGAGAGAGAGAGAGAGAGACATCCACTACAGCTACACCAGAACATTCAGCATTACTCCATCACTGAGATGATTTTATTATGCATTGAGGTGCAAGGTGTTAACAGGATGAGGCAGTGTTGTTTCTTGGTGAATCCCCAGACTGGGTGGAGATGCTTGAAACAGTCATTTGACTTGTTTACCTTTTTGCCCACTTGTATATGCACGTGAACATGTCTTTATCAATAAAACATCTGACACTGCTACACCAGCCTTCACCCACAATCTCTTAGTTTACATTCACTCTGACTCCAGCAGTATGCGACTCCCTGCTGTGTTTTTATGCACGGGGCTAGGTTGGTCGGGGGGTGAGGGGTTTCAGTGGGCATGTCGTAGATGTATACAGTACGGCCACATTGTGATGAGTTGACATCACGAGCTTCATTCACTTTTCCAGCCAGCAAGTTTCTCTTGTGTTTTGGTTTTTTTTTGTGCTGCTAATGTAGTCTACTCTACCGTAGCACCAATTTTTGCCACCATTGTGTTAACATTGAAAGATAAAGACAACGTTTAACATCCAGTACCCTAACTAATGAAAACACATGACATGTCTTTATGGTGCATTAACTGTGGCTCAAATTCGAGAGCAAATAGCAGTGTGGCCAAAATTTGACAGGGAATGGCAGTGAATGCTCGTACTAACAAGCTAAACAAAAGATGTGTTTTTATAGGTTCCTATAATTTAAATAAAAAAAAACATATGAGAATGGGTGGACTTGTTTGTCTGTCTTGCTCCAAATAGCTCTTAGTACTGGAAAAAGAAGACATCTGTGGCTTTTTTTTTTCCGCTCTTTTGTCGTCATCATCATCTTTCTAACCCTTACTCTCTTTATTTCTCTGAGTGTTCTTCCATCAGGCCCCTGCTCACTGTCAGGACCAATTGTCATCAACATATTCATGTCCACAGAGGGGTATTGGCATCAGAGTGAGAGAAGGATGGAGAATAAAATATTAAATCATCTTTTTATATAATTCTTTGCAATTTCAGATTAGTGACTACCTCAGATTTGAAATCTAATACTTGTCCCATTTCCTAGTATTTTTGACATTTGGCGCTTGCTCTGTAATCTGTCTACCTCATGTATTTAATGTATTCATGGTGTGTAAATCTCAACCGATTTGGACTGATGGAGGATATTGTAGTCTCAGGAGGGTGTCAGTGCTAGTGGGAACTGTCACATGTCCTATCTGCAGAGACACCTATATACAAATTACAGACAAGGTTTGATAGCATTTTATCCAATCTGAATCAAGTTCCAACTTGGATTCTCACATCCAAGTTTTTATTTGAAAATCTTAATTAATCTTTCTCAGTAGTTTGGTATGGAATGATACGGAAGAGTATTAGGGCCACTGCATAAATTTTTTTTAAAATTCTGACTTTATTCTCAGAATTCTGACTTTCTGAGAATAAAGTCAGAATTCTGAGAATAAAGTCAGAATTTTAAAAAAAATGTATGCAGTGGCCCTAATACTCTTCCGTAGAATGAAAGAATGAAGACCTATCTCAACGTATGTACTGTTTTTATTTTACTCGTTTTGTGTAATAAAAAAAAAGATGTAGCTGGATATTTAAGAATCTAGCTTCTAGCTCGAGGCTCACTGTCTGTGCGAGTCAGAAGGCAGCCAGCATGCGTCGTCAGTGGCTGACCTCCGACGACAGGTGCCCCTACATCCTTCAGTAGGCACGCACACTCTCACAAATGGCCTGTGCACCAGTTTCGTTTGATTAGAGTTAACCAAAGAGACAGTTGCCTTGTGACAGAGAAGCACAGATGAAGCCCCTGTAGCCGCATGCTATGATCATCCACAGGGACTCCACTACTTCTCCAGCCACTGGGTGTGTCCTGTCTGCCAGAGGCAGGCAACGGATGCAGGCAAGCCAAGCGACGGGGACGAGAAAACAACAGCCTGGATTTTTTTTTTTCCTGTCCTCAGTAGTGTTTGTTTACATTGTTTGGGGGAAATATACCAACATCATGTTAAATTTGTAACCCCTCTGTAATTAAATGTTACCTCTCTGATGGCCTTTTGGATTTGGGGGGGAACACTGGCGCAGTGGAGTGCATAAGCAGATATAACTGTGTTTTAGAATTTAATGCCACGGTGTGACAGCTTATTGTAACAGCTCGAGATGAATGGTTGTGGTTCCTTTTGTCAACGAAAGCTTTCTGCTATGTTGGTGAGCATTTGCATATTTCAGGTTAGGAAATTTTGCTTGAGTAGGAATATTCCTTTTAACAGTTTCAGATCTCTTACCAGCCACGCTCTCCACCATCCGTGTGCACTGTTCAAACCTGGGTGGTTTGTTTACCTCCTTTATGAATCACAAACCCCACCCTAGCTCAGCTTCCTTCCTTTCCTTCTGTTTATATTTTGGCTGAAAATTGTGTTGGATTATTTCAACACATTTTCCCCTTTATCCCACTGAAAGTTAGTTTCAAGAGGAGAGGATTACCTCGGTAAATATGTTTCCTTTTGGTACAAAGCTCCAAAGCTGCTCATTAGTGAAAAGGGCCTTGATTAAAAAAAAAAAAAATTGTATCAAGCACACTACCTCACCTCACAAACACCCCCAACTCCCCACCCACACAGCACTTCCTCTACCCCATTTTCCCCTTGTCCTCTCCACACTATTCCCACCTAGACTAACTCCTAATAGTTCATTTTCTATTTTCTGTTCAGGGCTATTTTGACATCTAGTGGGGATGATAAAACGGGGTTAGGTGTTAGGGCTCTTTTATTAAAAATTAATTAATTGCTTATTAAGCTATTCTGTACTGATCTCGTATACTGATGTACCTGTGTCCGTGAAATTTAAAAGCCTTAATTTCTCATTCTCGCTTTATTTCTCTCCCCTGTATCTGCAGTATAACTTTGTGGGGAGAATCCTTGGCCCTCGGGGACTCACAGCCAAACAGTTGGAAGCAGAGACAGGATGCAAAATCATGGTGCGAGGCAAGAGCTCCATGAGAGACAAGAAGAAGGTAAGCTCATCAGTGTTGCACTGTGCCCGGTGTTGCTGTTATTATTTTTCTTTAACAATGTTACAAACTAGATTCTACTTGGACCGCTTAATAAATGGACCTACATTTATTTTACTAAACCAGCACACTATAAATTGGACCTCTTTCTTTCTCTAAAAGGATTTATCATCAGTCTTGAAATGTTACACAATAGTGTGAAACACTCTGCTGTCACAGAAAAACAACCTACTAGCCTTGTGGAATCACGAGGCAGACACACGCTTACTTGATGCTTGGTGGCTGTGTTCTGACATCTGATAGGGCTGTCTGCAAAATGCTGTGCAGTGGAATGTACAGGAGGCAATAGTAAAGCAGACAGCCAAGGCCAGGGGCAGCCTCTATTTCTGGCCCTACTGAACAGAGATTGGAGACATAAAAGGCTAATGGTTTTTGTCTACATACCCAGAGACACAACAGGGGAATTTATGCAAAAAGCTTTTGTTTGTTTGTTTTACATGGAAACTCAGAATTTGCACAAAATTTTGTACAATGTTTTATCCTTGCACAACCATGTCACAGCATTTGAAAATGTAGACAGATTGTTGCAAAATAATGTTGATAGTTAGGGGTGTAAAGGTACACATACAGTATTTGCATTAAACCATTGTGGTACAGGACCAGGTACGGTACAGATGTATAATAAATGCAGTCTTAAATAGTAGCTAACAATATTCTGGTTTTGCGTGCAGAGCATTTTTTTCAAACGTGCATTCCCACAGGCACATTTTAAATACTGGAGCAGAGCACAATAAAATACACGGCACGCTTGGCTTAGCCAAGCCTCTGGCTAGTGAATGTCGCAAGAAGCCAGAGCTAGAAGACGCTCTCTTATTATTAGGGTTGTTTGGAAACACTCCCAGGAAAATACAACAACGGACAAAGACGTTGGATAAGACCTTACTTGTTTATTGCGCTTACATCACTTAATGTTTGTAAATGGGTACGTTTATAGCAACATGCCAGACTTTCTAACTTATTTGAAACAGCACCACACATACGTGAATATCACTGCTGTAGGGCTGCACGATGAATCGTTTCGTGAGCCTGATTTAGATTGCTGTGCAATCTCAGTCTCATGTGACAATAATTCTGCCGTGTTTGTATTAGCACGGAGATGCCTTGCATCAAACCAAGCCCTCTTTTTTTCCTCATTAAGCTGCCTTAACCAATAACAACCACATGTAATAACCGCAAAGTGACCTCAACTGCTATTCAGTGCTGGGTGTACAGGGCAGGCAGCACAACGTTTGGAAAAAAATAGTTGCAGAATGTTTCACAATGTCAAACATGTTGGATTAGTTTTTGAATCAGTCTTCTCTTCCTGTCTACAACTCATGTGATGTAAAACATTCCTGC